AATCCTCTGAGATGCAGCGAGCAAGGAGCAGTGTCAGACTGTGCCTGTTACCTCTCCACATCTGATCATGGAAACACAGCCTGCCTCTCCTTTCTGAATTTTGCCCCTCGCTCCCATCACTCCTCAGAGCTTTCTTCACACTCTCCCTCCCCTCCTCAATTACTGTTCTGCCTGGCTTTGCAGTCTATCCTTTTTTCACACTGAAATTCATCTTTGGATAGTTTAACAAATGATGATAAGATAAAAAAAATTAAAATCATGTAAAAAACCAAAATCAGGGACTAACCTAAGCAAGAATTCATTTCCATTTCAAAGTTTATTCTGACATCAGTTCTGCTCAGGAATTTGCTTTTTAAAAAGATTTTATAAAGACTTTTTTTACAAGTTTTTATAGAATGAGAAAATCATTTGCACTCTGATAGAATCTTACACATTTTCCTATTTATCAGTCACTGCTCTTAAAAACTTTGAGCAAACATTATTACCCTGGCCCCCTTCTCTGGATTGCCAGCAACACATAGTTTTGAGAGGCCACCTCAGTGCTCAGTCACCCACAGCATTGCAGATTTCAAGCAGGGAAGACGTTCTGAGCACCCAGCTGCATTTTCCAAATTGTATCCTGTGTTCCCTATCTCAAGCCTTAAATTTCCACTAGAAACACAGGGTGAAGTCAAGAGCAAACTTCAGCACTCAGGGCTGCCGAAGTGCTGGCTGATGTAAGTTCAGCAGTGACTTCGTGCTCAGAGACCTCGGTTTCAGAGGCAGTTGCTCAGAGCTTTCTGCACACCAAACGTTCATAAATGTTGCACTGCTCACTGCTCATAAACCCCAGTCCCTCAGGAAGCACCAACATCACCGCCCCTCCACAGCCTGCTCCCATGTGCCACAGAATCCCCTGAAAACCTTCTTGTGTCAGTTTAAGCCCACACGGAGTTGCTGTTCCCTCCTCAGCCCATTCAAGCCCCTCCCATTTGTCACATCCATCCTCAATATATTCTGCTAATTCCTTCTGCACTCTCTCTCTACAAGGTTGTCTTTCTCCTCTACCCATGCACAGATTTTCATCTGAGTAACATCACCTTCTTCACCTTTGAGAAATATGACCCAGAGCTGCCTCTGTTCTGACACAAAGGGGTTGTTCTTTCAGCCCAGCACCTCATCTTTCTCTTGCATCTCCTCATCGGAACCTTTTTCTAGGATATCAAACATTACCTACCTTTATTTTGATGTTTGATGCATTAATGTACTTACCATCTTTTTTATTTTACAAATTACTGAGGAAACAACACGGACCTTCAGTTTTCCAATAGCAACAGAATGTATGGAAAATCCACTGAAGGTAACTGCTGTGGTAATTTTTATATAATATTAAACAAATTGATAGCTGTTTTGATTTCTTTCCTCAGTAACTGTGAGAATTGCAATAGCAACAGCAAGAATGGTCTTAGGTCAACAGGACATAACAAGGAGTTCACAATTTGACAACTTTCAGTGCAAGTTTTAAATAGCTTTAAGAACCTACAGTTTGTACTTCTTTTCAGTTCAGAAATTCATTGTATTCCACTGACCCAAACAATGTCTGCATGAAAAGGGGTACAAACATTTTAGAAGAGTTGACTTGATTAATATTTATGAATATATTAAGGACATTACATATTGTACCAGCCCACATGCAGGGCAAGAATACAGTATTTTACTGCTCACTGGGATTTATCAGTCATTAACACACACCTCTGCTATGCTGCAGAGCTTGATACTTTAGCCACCCAGGAAGGTCAGTAATACAGATAAATAAATCTAGTACATGCCATGAGACATCAGTGTAATTAGAGTGTGGTTCTTAAAGGTGCAGCATTAACATCCTCATCTTATTCTAGAAACTGGCAGAAGATGCAGATTTTTTTTGTCTGCTATTTCAAATACTTGAGTCACCTGGCATCCACAGGTGCACTACACTGCTCTTCTCCAGCCCTCCAGATTCCTAACACAAAGCCTCTGTGTACGACTGTGGCAGGAGTCATCGTGACTCCTTCGCTCCTTCATATATATTAAAGGTAAGCTGGAAAATATTGAATTTTCCAACAGTGACAGGAACTTGGAAGGGCTAATTCAGCTGCAAAGCACTATTCAGCCAGACTGGAGCAGAGACATTGTTTGTTTTTGAAGTCTGACCAGTTGTCACCTGAGCTTCAAAGAAGGGAGCCCTGTTCTCCTCCCTCCTCCCAGCTGCCACACGCTGTAGATGATGGGACCTCTTTGAAGTTTTACTTTTATTTTAAAGGCTTAAGGCAAAATCCTACTCTCAGATGTGCAGAGAGCATCACAACACCACTGTTCTGCTCTCCTCACATGCACAAAGCCAGCCTGCTGCCCTTCATCTCTTGTCCTGGGGGGAACTGAGCCCCTCTGCACCGAGCCGGGTGTGTTGGAAGACACGACACAGTGCCAGCCTCTGGAGCTGCAGCAAACCAGGCACCCTCCCCTCACCCTGCCTTCAGCAGTTGGGAAGGAGAGGTGCTGTTCAGAATAAATAACTGTGCAATGAAGAACAGCGTCAGCAGGGTGGGGAGGAAAAAGAGACTCCTCCATCCAACCAATGTCAATCCTCGTCACTATAATGTACCAATCAACTGGAAAGGTCCAGGGCCTAAAACATCCCTTTACCTTGTCATTGCTGGTTTCTACTACCCCCATTCTCTCATGGCTCTTGGAGATGCTGAGGATACATAAACCCAACACCACTTTAGCTTCAACTTTATCTATCTTCACAGCTACCAGGGAGACTTGCAGCTTTACTCCTATGTACACAGTGGTGCTACACAGACATCCACAGGAAAGACCCTTGCTCAAGTAATAATACACTGTGAGCATATAAAAACCAGATTCCCAGGATTTAAGTAATTTGTATGTGCAGAAGCACCAGTTAAATTCCCATCATAGCTCTAGATTTGTTTCTCCTCAAGTCATTAGTGACTGGGTGCCAGTGTGTGGGTTCTCGTGATGCTGTACAAAGATGATCTCAAAGCAGACTTGGGGCTGCACGCTGAATACTTCTCAGACCAGAGATGGAGATTGTTCTAAACCTGATCTTACAGAGAGAGAGGAGAAATGATCTAACAGAGGACAAAAAGGAAAGACTGCAGAAGTGTGGGAGTTCTACCTAGATCATGATGTAATAGCCCAGTGGCTCAAAAATGTTCTTCTTTTCCACTTTTGGATGAAAAGTAATTTTAAATCTGTAAAACTGTAACAAAACTGGAGGTTAACTACATTTGATTCCAGGGAAAAAAAAGCTATTAGAACTTTTAATTTTAACTTAATTGGTTTTACTTCCAGAAAATACTGATATATAGAAGTCCCCTATTTTAAAAAAAAATAAAAATTAAATGTATTCTCTCGCATTATATATATTTTATGCAGTAACAGAAGACAATATTTTAACAGCAATAATTCTGAATCACTCCAGAGCATTCAGCAGGAGTCAATTCATACTGCAAGAGAATAATGATGTACCTCAACTCATTTTAATTTCAATAATTGAATGAGAAATAGGAAGGCCTATTGAAAGGACTGTATTCTGGTCAAAGACTAATGAGAAAATAGTTTTGAGTCTCTGAGTCAGCGGGTGTCATGGTAACAATGCATTATCGAAATCTGATTAGCATGCCCAGCAGCTTTATAAATGATAACATGCTCTTCTAATTGTATTTCCCTTTCTTTCCCTGTGATAAGTTTTATATTCATAACAGGTAAGAGGTAAGGCAGCATTCTGTTTATCTTCAAGTTTAAACTTAGGATGTCCAGCGTGCTCACAAACTCTGTGAAATCTGTCATTCACTAATAGAAAAATTTTCCTACCACGTTAAAATAAGAAGCTGAGCCTTCTACTTCTCCTGTATTCTGTGCAGTTATTTAAGTTAAATATTATTCTCTTCTTTTAAATATATATAATTACTTAGAAGGATATATACGTGAAAAAGAGAACACTGTGAAAAAACACAAGCATCTTAAGAAAAAGCCTATGTTTCATAGGAGTAAGTGCATTTTTAATTTATTCCAGAAAGCATGACTCCATGTTCTTGAGGTTTTGAAAAGAGGGAGGGGATTTTCTTGTGTTTAGAAGATTTGTGTGCCTTTGCTATCTCATTACAAACTCAGAAATCAGGAGGAACCATGAAATTAAATACGATATATTTCCTCCTCATGAAGGAAAGAGCTAATATTGCTTCATAAAATAAACACCATGAAAACACAAGGTTGAAAGCTTAGTAATGCTCCTTTTACAACTGAACCTCAGGTGAATAGCCTGGTAGACTGTTATTATTTTAACAGCAAAGAACTCTATTTTAACTGCAGCCTCACAAATCTGATGCAAAATAATTTCAACATATAGAAGCTCAGTCTTATCAAATGGATTTTTGTTTTGACAGTAAAATGGAGTTCTATATTTCAACAGAAAAGACCAAAAAAATGGACTTCATGTTTGCCCTATTTCCATGACCCTTGTAACTTAAATATTTAATTTTTATTTTCAGTGTTCACTTTCATTTATTAATTCAGCTTCAGATCCATATGATGAAAGAGCAGGAAAGCTCATATTCTTATTTTCTAGGTAAACTCAAATACTCTTAGTCATATGACAAATAATGCCTAGTACAAGACATAACTTTTCTGTATTATTAACAGCAGAACTGGGTTTGCCATAATGCATGAATATGGAGAAAATGAATACAGCAAGAGCTAAAAAGCTTACTACTCCTTGTAACATGCACTGGCACGTGGACAGAGTTTAAGATGTACAAAATACTAAAAGCAATCAATCTTCAGTCAACACACCGAAAGCCAGAGGAACATTTATCTACATGTTTGGAAATTCAGCAGAGAGTGCTGGGCTACCCTGAGAACAGAAAGGCGTCAGAGCAGGCCAGTGAACAGAGAGAGAGCAAACAAGGCCTCCCCAGGAGGGATTAGTGCTGCTTCAGGGGACTGCCTGCACTAACCTTGGACGGAAGCAGCAGCCCGAGAGCCAGTCAGTGTGACCTTCGCCTGTCATGAGGAGGTTCCCGCCAGGCAGAGCCCACATCTTCCAGAGGTGGTCATCGCTGCCAGTCACTACGATGTCTTTTCGGGGATGTAAAGCCAAGCTGCAGGAGAAGAGAAAAGCAGGTTATGGTCTGACTCCATTTCATTTTATGGGAAATACACAGCAGTGAGATCCATCAGCTCAGGGCAACAGCCAGCGAGAACTCGGATTCCAGACGGACTGAACAAGCAGTGATGCTTTCTATGCTCCTAAGAATTTAAAATATATGCTCTGGAGATGAGCTTCTACTGCTACTGAAGAAAACAACAAAACAGGACTGACTTCTGTGAAACCAGAATTGTTTTCACACTTTTTTGCAGTTCCAATTAATTAAAACGCTCACAAAGGCTTTAAAATACCTTGTGAGGATATGTTCTTACAAATGTGCAACAAGGGTAACACAGGAGCAAGCTGTACCAACACTAATCACTTCCTACACCCAAAATAACTTCAAAAAGCATTGCCATGTCAGCCTGCTGCCTTTTCTTCCTCCACCCCCCACCACTGTGTCCACAGCTGTAAAGTCTCCTACCACTGGGAAATAACTCAAATGATAATTACAGTCCAGGAGCTACAGTCATTGCCATCACTTCAGCACCTATTCGCTGGGACTAGGTCTGAAAATCCATTTCAATTCTGTAGTCAAAATGTGTTACATGTTTTCACTTTTTAATATGTAGCACGCTGCGATGTAGTGGAAATCATACACTTAGCACACCCCTGTACTAAAAACTCAGTTTATTTTTGATTTAGCAACTGTAGTGCAGCTTAAAATGGATCCAGGGAAGAAAATCAATCTGTTGGAAAGATAAAAAGTAGTGCATTTCATATGGATTTGGTTATTTGATTCAAATCATTGTAAAGCCTTAATATTTGTTGAACATCAAAAATTTCTAGTAGTTGACTTTAGTCCCACGAGGAGATTATTTAAATAGATTAAATCTGGAGTTTGGAATCAAAATGCAACAATGAGAAGAGAAATCATAACCTGCATGTGCACCTATTTTAGTTGTGCATCAGAGCCGACAGCTTGGACGGAAAAATGCTTCTTAAAACAGAATAAGAGTAGAGAGAGATGATGCTAAGCACCCAAATGGGAAGAAAAGAGAGGAATTAGAAGGTATACTGTTATAAAAATCTCTTTTTTACTAGTACCTTTCTCCTGCACTCAAATTATTTCATAAAATTCCTAAACCAGAACCACAGCTTCTACTATACTGGGAAAAAATAATTACCTCTCTCAAATCCATGCTAAAAACACATTTTATGTGAACTAGATTTTCATCAGAAAACACATCTATTCTTGTAGTTTAAGGTCTAGTCTAGGAAGATTCTTACAGATTCATCAGATGAATTTATATTCTTGACTGAGGAGCCTGGGTTTTACTCATTCTCTAGTTTCTCAGAGAGAAAAAGCAATGTTTTCTATCTTTGCCCAAAGAGGATAAACTCCCTTTGCATTTATAGGGGGAAAAAGGAAGGAGGGAATGATGCTATTTAAATTCTCCAGAGACGCACAGAAAGCACTTGTATCACTTAGATGGGCCACAACAGATATCTAGAAGAGCAAAGAGGGAATAAAGATAAAAGGAGAGAATTAAAGGCTGCAAGAAGGCACCAGTGGCCTGCAAACTACAGGAGAACAGCTGTCCCAGAATCCCTGTGCTACTGGAGACCTCTGAAGCCCCCCCCATCCCACTGCTGCTTTCTGCAGCAGGCACAGGCACGTGGCATTGCTACCCTGGCCACCACTAAAAGGAGACCAAGTTCACAAGAAAATGAGCAGAGTAATAACTATAAACAACAATCCACCAGGGCTGCTCCACACACTCTTTCCTCAGCCCCTGGAACAAAGGTCCTTCCTCACCTGCCATGCACTGCCCAGAAGCAAGACCAGTGCAGGAGTCCCTGTTTCTTGCCGGCAGCTCCTCTGGGTGTAGCAAGGCAATGGCAAGGGAAAAAGAAGCACGAGTGGATTTAGGAAGACCAGAGAGGAAGAAAAGGATGCCACTGCAAAACCACTGACAGCACGTGGCACTGCAGGAAGCTCAGTCTACTATTCAGCCCCCTCTATGACACAGTTGCAAGCCTGGACTTTTCTGGTTTGGGATTAACTTTAAAATTGTGTTATTTGGAGAAAACAGACAAGTGAACAGAGTCATATGGATCCAGCTTCTTCTACATTCTTCTCTTAATCTGCTTCAGGTACCTTCCAGTTTTTCCCCCAGGTATTTCTGCTTTTAGTGAAGTGCATCTCTGTTGTGAAGACTTTCCAACAGCTGTCTTAAATTCTTCCTAAACATCTGCCTTCTCAGTTCCCAAAGTGCACTATACCATCTAACTTAGATCACCTTCAGTTCACCTCTCATGCAAAGAAAACTTAACCTAGTGGCTTCTTCCAGCCCCTGACTCACCTTGTGAACAGTCCTCACCCACTGGCCAGGCTGCAGCTGCCTAAGGATGGGAGCTGTGCTGTCATCCATCCTGCCTCAGCTCCCAGGAACATTTTCCCTACCCTTAACCCTCCCAACACGCTTCCAGTCCAACTTTTGAAGTTCAAACTTCTTCAGTGACTACACATTCCTAAAGAGCTTTGAACAATCCATAAAGTGAATTTCATATGGGTGAAAATATCTTGCCGTCAGCATGAAGCCTGCAAATTTGTTTTCCACAGGCTTTTCTTTTAATTGGAGAGCTCTTGTAAAATGCTGCTGCCATCCAATGTTTTTTTTTCCTCCATGCCATTTTTACAGGCACACAGTGAACACCATTTAATTAACAGCAAATTTGTGACATGACTGCTGTTGAGCTGCTTCTGAGAAAGGGAAGCCCATTCATCCAAAAGGCATTCTATATGCAACATTAATTAGGCACCCTTGTCTTCATTTCTGGCAATCCAGCATTGTATAGATTTTTGCTTCATCTCTGTTCACAGGGTCTAATTATTTCCAGCACAGAAGACTTCGGGTAGATTGGAACGGAAATCAATAATGGAACATGTGTGATAGGAACATTAGTTTTCTCCTCCTCCTCCTTTGGGATAAAGTGGGATCAGTGGAGACTCAGCCAAGAAAAAAACAAACCCAACAAAAAACCCTCTCAGAGACTTGCTGCTGTTGAGTATATAAATACCCATGTTTACACAACTCATTCTGGCATTATAAGACATTCTCATCTCTTCAGTACTTGCCATGGTAGATATATAGTACTCCCAGTAATTTGCTTTCAAAACAATCATCGATTATTTTAATTTATTTTGACTGAGCCATAAATAAAAACACGGTATCTTCAGATGCATAATACTTTCAATCTCAGCACGTACCACACTTGACCCTTTCACACACATAAAATCAACCTTCAGGTCAAAAAGTGTTAAACCCAAAGCCACCTGGGTAACCTCAGCTGTGTGTTTAATACAAGCACTACACTGCACTGAGGCAGGGGAGAGCTCACATCTGTGTCAAGGAAAGCCTCCTGGCAATAAGATTTCTGAAACACTGGAACCAACAGCCATGTGCCATCATTAGCCCATTCTGGAAGCTCTCACACACCTGCCACAGATTATCCAGGTAGATGACTTCCATCAGGGTTATGAGAAACGGGCTGGGTGGTGCCTTGATGTCCCTTCAGGGCCTAAGACAGCAATGTTCCTACTGAGTCTGGTTAATTCAATGCACAAAACTAACAGTGCTTGTATGTGAAGGACAATTATAAAACAATAAAAGCATCGCCTCAACCTAAGGTATAACAGCAGCCAAACCCCATTGCACAGAAGCAGAACAATAAGGCAACCCCCTCCCAATTTAAAAACTATTTTACTGGCTAAAATGTCTCACAGAATCATATTCAGCCTTTTTTTTACTTTTACCTTCCTACAGATCTCAGAAGACTGCAGGAACAGGAGGAGGCCAGAAATGAAAAACTAACCGGAAGAGTCTCAAAATTAGGCACTCTTAGAATGAAAAATGCAAAATTAATGACCAACTCAGTACTCTTAAGTGACTTATCCAAACCTCACCAACTGCTCTGTGGCAGAAATAAGGACAAAATCCAGTTTTCTGTGGTTTCACATATAGGAGTTACACAGAGAAGTATGTTCTCAATATAGACAGCATTTAACTGCCAAATTCTAATACAGCATTGTACTGAATATTGCTTGTGATACACAATTTTTAGAACTTCATGATCTGATCAAATTTATTTGCATTTCCAGATACTGGCAAAGAGGACTGTTGTTACTGCCAGTAGCTGCTTTCAGCCCAGAAAGCTCTTCTGCTGCATTTCTTGCTCCAAAATGTGAGAGCAGCAGAGTTCCTCCAAGATTAAAAAAAAAAAACCCAAACACATTTTTCCTAGTGACAGAAACATTTTAGCTAACATTTTCTTAAACAAACACTCAGCCTTGCTCACCATACCTAGCACAGGAAATTTTGGAATGAGCAGTTACATTTGGGTGAAGTTATAAATGTCTGAAAATCTCAGGTTTATAGTGGAAACTGTTGGGAAATCACTGATATTTCTTTCTCTGCCATCAGGTTCTCTGGGTGTGTTGGAATGGCAGAGCAGAGCAGGTTTTAGTGGCAAGCATATAACATGCATTGAACTGTAGAGGATGGTTACAGCCTCAGACAAGAACAAATACGTGCCTAAATACAAGGGCATCAACAGCCCTACTGAAAATCAGTGACATTGTTCACAAGCATATACTTAGTTATATTGCTGGACTGTGCCCTAAAAATATAAAGAATTTCTAAAAGCCAAAATATGATTCCAGCCCTGATTTTGCTGGACACCAGCCAGTTGTACTGAGACAAAGGACACCATAACCAAGGTGTTAGGAACAGTTTCTGTGACAAGGGATGGCTGGACTGCACGACCTAATGACAGTTTCCACCTTTGAGAACACCTCTGAGTTGCCACAAAGGTGTTCCCAACACCTCTGAGTTGCCACAAAGGTGTTCCCAACACCTCTGAGTTGCCACACACCTGCCGCCATCCAGCTTGGTCCCAGGAATGGCTGCTGCCTGAGGGGACTGGCACTGCTTCCCCACCTCCAGGCTT